ATATTTCATAGAGGTGACCAAAAGCAGGTCCTTCTTATATGTTATTGCTTCATCACCGCAGTTTACAAGAAACAAAAGAACAATTGAGGTTCAATACATGACATCCTTTATACCTGATTTACCACTGCCTTGACCATCCTGGGGAACTCCTTTTTCATGACAGACTTGTGAAGCAAGCTTGCAGGCTTGCTCTGCTTCTTAGTCTTAGTTGTCGCAAGCAGCACAGATTGATCCTTGGCAGGTTGAATGGTCACTGTTTTCTTGTTTGCCAAACCTAATACATTTTATTACACAACACATAGTCATTACACAACATATAGTCATGCAAACACCCCAAACTAAAATCATAGATTCCTTTCTCTTCTTGAATGTCAGCAAACCAAATTATATCAACTATCCTAACAACTACTTAGATTCACATGATTCAAGCTCAAGCTCAAGCTCAAACTCAAGTTATTAGTCATTGTATATAGCAAATTTAATTACACGTAGGATTTCACATTTCAGGCATCAGAATCTCTCTGCCCAGTTGTCCTTTAAGCTTAGGATTTCAAAACAAAACAAAACGGGGAAAATGGGGAAAACGGGGAAAACGGTGAGAAACAGGGAAGGTCTACCTATGAAACATACCCGAGTGTTTGAAGGAGTTGAGATTGTACAGGTTGTTGCTCTCTTTGCTAAACTGAACGCCGGCAGTTCCTCTACCGAACTGCTTCACGAGAAAAGAGTTGTTCTTCTTCACTATCTCCCAAATCAAAGGCCCCGGTACTGTCGCCATTGCCGCCGCTGCGCTTCGCCGAACTGGATTTCAAACAACACACAAATCCGGAATAAGATAGCTGCACGAACAAAGCAAATTTACATATTGAATTCAGAGAAAGTGAAGCTAAGAACCTGTAAATTAGGGTTTCTTATGACTTCGAACTGCGAACGGCGGTTGGGAGTGACAGAAGAGAATGCAAGAGGTAAAGATGACTTATAAAGATACACTAGTGAAACCCTAATTGCTGTTCTAGTGTTCTATGAACCCCGTAGTTTTAAACAGTAACAATTTAGTCCATAACTTTTATTTAAGGTTTTTTTTTCACATTATTTTTTTTTATGTTCGTGTTCATGTTAATTTTATTCATTATTAATCCAGAAATTACACTATATAGAAAAAAATTATTTTTTTAAATAAATAAAATAACTTTTATTCACAATCATTAAATAAATAAATGTATATCTTTAACAAACATTTTATGTTTTAACAATTAAAAACTTAAAATTAAAAATTTTAATTTTAACTTTAAAATTAGTGAGGAGGGATTTTTTTTCTTTTTTTGTACTAACGAAATTGGGAAAAGGGGAGGGAAAATGGAGAATAAGAGGATTTAAACCTTATTATGTGAGTGAAATTCTCATATGATAACCACACGAATTACTCGTCAAGATTTTAATAAAGAGGGATTTAAAAAGAGACATGAAAAAAAAAATAATTGTAAAAAGAAACAAATGAATGTATATTAATTTAAGCATGGCCCAATAATTATGGGAGAAAAATTGCTATGATTTTGAGATTTTTTTCTCATATGGAGAAAAATCCTTAATCCCCTACTTAAAGAGTATAATATTTTTTTTCCCTCAGTGCATAGACAGCTCTTTGAACTCAACACAGTTCTTTAAAAAAAAAAAAAAAAAATGGAAGTTCGAAGACAGAACAGTTGTTGAAGAAGAAATTTGACATAACATGACATAACAAGAAGAAGCTGAAAATAAGAGAACTTGGTAGTTGGAACATTTTGTTCCTTTCCCCTCCTAAATTTAATCCAGATTGCAAGTTTGGGAGGGAAAAGATGAAAAGATCTGAATGCCACAAAAGAAATTGGAACAAATTTCTAACAATGTCCAAATCCAAAAGATACACTGAAAAAATTTAAGTTATTAGCCCCTCTGAACCCACCTGAATTCAATCATTCATGTATTAAAAACCTAATATCAGGTCACTAATACCTAATACCAGACCACCTTTACACCTCAGCTAGTGTTACATGTATATACAGAGCCAGAGAAACCTATAAACCAATTGTACAGGGGGATTTTACCAGTAAGTTTTAACAGGAAACAAAAGACTTGGCTCTCTTATTAAGTAAAACCCCAAGAAAACCAACCACATTCACCAATAAGAGTTTCATGAGTTCCCAGGTGTTACAGCACGATGAGTTGCTCGTGCAGATCCATTCACTGCTTCATTGATCCTACTGAATACTAACTTCAACGGAACACAAGCTATGATGGGAGTTTTATGCTTATCCATCACCAGTTTCCCGTTCAATTCACCTAGCTTGTGACTAGTCAATGAAGACAATTTCCGAATCTTTTTGTTGGACAAAATCCCACTTTTCCTTAGCTTTCGGGATTTACCTGATGAAAGTTGCGACTGCAATTTTACTCTTTCTAAATTTTGATTGGCTACTTGATCAACTTCAGTCACACCGCATTCATTACCATAGTGAACATCATTCAAAACCTCAACTGCTAGTGGGTGACCAACAATGGCTTTGCCATTTAATTTACTCACGAGGGAAACCAATGGAACATCTTGCGGCTGATACCTGGCATTTGCCTCAACCTTCACATCGTACAATGAAGAAACACCAGAATAACTTCTAACTGGAAAATCTGCAGTATGATATCTGGAGGGAACAGTATAGCGTGACTGACGGGGAAGTGATCTTTGAGAGGCCACAGAACCATCAGGATGTAACTTCACCTCAGCTGTTGACCCTCGAGAAATAGACTTCCATTCAGGGAATCCATCAACCTTCTCTTCCATAACTGTTTTGGACCTCACTTGTGCAGAGAAATTGTTGGTCAACATGAGCTCACTGACTCCACTGGAATCAACTTTCTGGTTAGAGCGAGAACGCCTAGGGAATCCATCCAACTGCTCTACACCTGCCAAAAAACCATTTGGTTCATCCATGTCAACATATTTTCTTGAGTCCTGTTTTCTATTTTTACTTGTTTGTCTTGAATTCCTCTTTCCTTTCAACTGCCACTTTGAAGTACCTTTCTCTATTCTCTGAATAATGTTAACATTAATAGCTGCTGTCCTGGTAGAACCCGGTTCATTGTGTACCTCGATTGCAGCTTTAATGTTGTGACTTGATTGCCTTCCCAACCCAACATCAGGAGTGTCAGATGAACAAGACACAAATATAGGAGAGAAATCTGTCAGAATCAAATGATATATCAGCACAAAGGGAACTTTCCATACCCCCTTTTTTTTTTTTTAATGTGGCAACAAAGGGAGCAACAAAAAATAAAAAAGCAAAAGCAATGGAGGGATAAAAGGAAAGGGTTTGTCTTAGGGCACAGGATAAGAAATAAATATTAGTCAATGTCCTAAAAGATTTGAAATTTTAAATTAAAAAAATAAGTTCTAATTTTAATTTTAAAAGAAATGAATAAAAAACTGACAAGTGACATTTGCAATTAAAACAAAAGTTAACTTTATTATTTTTCAGATAAAAAATAATTATTATTATACAATTATTACTTCTTAGGGCACAGGATAGATAAACCCTTTATATATATTGACATGTAGATTATCAAACATACTTAATGACAACTCTATTTTAGCATAGCAGGAGAAGAATGTCAGAACCAACATAAATATGAAAAGAAGTATCTGAAGTGTCATTTGCAGCTAGTTGGGTTGATCAAGAAACAAATCCTGGTCAAAGGTGCTAGCAAAGGAAAAATCTACCACAAAAACAAAAAAGATTTAAAAAAAAGAAAAAAAAAAAACAGAGAAAGAGAAACAAACATCATTAAAATTTTTAGTAGTCCTGTGTTATATATATCCATGAGAAAACAAAAAGGGAAGCCTTAAATGCATGAGCTTATCTACCAATGAACTCCCTCTGTATGGGGATGCTTGTATTAACAAAAGAATGTGCAGACGACGGGCAACTTGTGAATCTGAAATGGGTAAAACTATTAACATCTGTAAGGTTAACATCTGAAGGTTTCTTACTGGGAGCTAAATGACATTGACTGTTTTAAACACATATATATGCTATCTAATCCCTACCGTGTCCAAGGTTGAGAAGGAATCTCCTGCAGGTCTATCTAATTTGCGAGGCACCAGACTCACCACCATTCCCCTACTAGACAGCAGAAGTATTTAAACCAAAAGAATGCATTCTTTCTGGTGTTGGGAGGTAAGTCTAGGTATTGAATTCCAATTCAGCAATGTATCATTTGCCAGTTCCTTTAGTAAACATTTCATCAGATATCACGAGCTACCCTCATCTCATCAAGGCCATAAAATTCAGTCAACCCTTGGATCCTCAAAGATTTTTAAAATTTTATTAATTTGCTCATTCAGCAAAAAAATCAAAGAAGCTGAAAATCACAATAACATGATAAATGCAATATCTGCATGGTCAACTTGCTTGAGAACACAATGAAAACCATATACAAATTACATTACCTAAAATGAGTGTTAGAGAAGCATTCATCAGCATAGAGATCTTAAAAACCAACGAACACTGAATTTACAATCAAAGAATGTTCAAAATGAAAAGAAAAATCAATCTCCAATGTAGGTAGTAACGTTACAAAAAGCAGCATAGCATTATTGGACAGCCCACCTCACTCGATATACACCCAAAGGCAACATACTTGGGATATTATAACATGATGAAATGGCATATAGCGAGATATCATAACATAATGAAACTGCATATAGCAAAAGTACTGAGTTGCATACAGCATAAACCTCATAGGAGCCAAATCAAACAATAGAACCCTATGCAGTAATTAGAAACAAGAGAGATTTCAGAAAACTATAAAAGCAGGATAATAAATTATGCACAACACAGATGCAGATAATAATAAAGGGAAATGTTTGTTTGAGAATACCTGCAGAGGGTTTATCTTCCCCAACAAATGGCACATCAAATAACCTGTCAGATGAATCATGTTCAACTATCCCTGGAATGCTGGAAATCTCATTGTCCTTTGCTTTGTTATTAACATGAGATGCGTCACCACCGTGTTCAGAAGCATTCAAGGAGACACCATTCTCACATGATACACCAGTACTGTCTGAATTATTATTGTTATTTACCATGGAAAAACTTTTCCTTGACTCATTAGAATCCAATGCAGAAACCTTGCTGTCAGAAAGTCCCCTAAGGGGTGAACCATTTGAACTTGGATGTTCATTACAAATGACTGGAACAGACACCATAGCAGTACTCTCCAAGACCTTTGTCAACGGTCGGCGACGGTTTTTCCTCTTTGAAATTTCATGAACATTTGCCACTTGAGATCTCTTTCTTTTCAATGATGAGGAGCAACCCTTGCTGCCATTCACAGCACTTCCATTCAGCATGCAATTTCCAGTGTTTGAATCATGAGGTGAAACATTGTCTTGTTGAACATGCTCCAGCACTGCCCCTGCCTGGACCTTTCCTTTTGACACCACACCCATGCCCAGATCCTTAAGTCCTCTCATTCTCTTGGTCCCTTCAATTCCATCATCCTCTGAGTCATTCGGGGTTCTTCTCCTCCTTCCTGGTACAGCTTGCACCCTTGAGGCACCTATTTGGTTGGGCTCTTCGAAAGATATTCCAGATTGTGATAATTCTGGTGCAGAATCTGAATCATTTTCAGGTTCACTCCCTTCATCAGTCATGTCCTCATTTTCATTCGCAGAATGTGACATGGTAGGTGATTCTCTGGCAGAACCACTATCCTCACCACTAGAATTCTCTCTTCCAGAGAAATAATTTGGATTATCCTTCCCTAGCCGTGCATTCTCAATCTCAAGAGCATGGAGAATTGCATCTTCTCTTCGAGCATATTTGACTGCTTTCTTATTAGAACTTGCAGCAGAGGCTTTTGCTTTCTCAATACATTCATCATACTCCCCACACCGAAATGCCTTCACCCTCTTAGACTTTTCAAGATTATACCAGTCTCTACAGCAGAGAAATGAGATTCAGTCAACAAAGTCAGACCAAAAAAAAAAAAAGAATTACTAAGCAGCTGGTCTCTGGATATTTCTAAAGCAGCTAGGCCCAGCAAAAATCCCTCAAAAATGTTCTTTTGAATCAGACCAGGAAATGATATAGCAAATCCACGCAATAACCATGCCAATAGGAAAACACTTCTTGGGTATAGGGTTCATTCACCACAAACAGCCAAGCACCTAATCAATATTCAATAGGCATAAAAGATATTCGTACCAGCATTTTGTTTTTTCTGTAATCTGTATACATTACTTTAATCCCACAACATAACATACATGTAATCTTGGGTTTAATATATGCAAACCTGCATCTAGCTTGAAATCATTTCAGTCAACTAAAACTCTAAAAGTTTGAAATGTAGACCCTGTGGACAACAACTCAAGGCTTTCTCTGAACTTTGCACTCATAAACCAAACTAATAACAAACAACAGAGCACTGGAAATGTAGCTAAATAAAAGCAACAACTTTCAGCAACCTCATTCAATCCCCTTTCTGGAAGTTTTGAAACAGAAATGGCAACAGGTTGAAACTGTGGGTTTGGCCGGCAAAGAAAAAAGGCTGAATTTACAAGGGCCTTCTCTTCCCATTTGTAATGGAAAAGAAGATAACATTACTATTACAAGAAGCCAAGAAAGAGACTAGGAATCAATAGAGAGGATGACCAAGAGACTACCTAGTTCAAATTGCACATCTTCCGCACAACCATATTATTAATGAAAATTCTGCTTTTATTCAATCCGTTTGATTGAAATTCTATGTAAATATCTCGGAAAACAGATGGGAAAACTATTCTACCATAACTAGAGAAGGCAAATATCAACATTGAGCTATATAGAGGTGCAGTATCACCATGGCATCCATACAAGATGGCAATCCCTATAAGGTGATGGCTATGCCCTTAATTTAATAATGCCTCAGCTCCCATTATAACATTTAGGCATCAGTCTTAGATTTCACCAGCAAGCACAATTGAACAGAGTAATTACTACTCCCCTTTACCAATGTAAGGGCATAAGCAAATGGTTATCACTAACAATAGAACTTATAGGATGCAAATTCTGATTCTCATAAGTCCTACCAACAACAAAAGCAAAGAGAACAAAATTTTTTGAATGAAAGAGCCAGCAAAGTTCGAAGATTTATTGGAGACATGATAAGAGGTAAGCCAATTCACTAGAGTAAAGAAAGAACAAGTAGAATTTCAACATAATGTAAATGCAAATCCCCACCAATTCAAAACTTTGCACCATCTGTTTAACAAGTTAAAACTTAAAATGTTTATTCTTTTGAAAATTTGATAGATTAATTAACAAGAGAAGGTCAAACACTCACCCACAAACATCCAGAAAGATCAGAAGAACCAAGAATTAAGGAAAAAAAATCGCAAGACTTTAGTGCAGAAAAACTCACATGCTTGCATCTTCGCGGCCAAGAAGCTTAACCGGTGTACCCGATCTGGGAGAAACTAAGCAACCCTCAGAGAGCTCGTTAAGGCCCATAATCTGACCCGGCCACCACGAACCATTACGGCGGCGTACCCAAACCAATCCACCGACCGACGCATCAATGACCTTGCTTTTTAACTCTTCAGGACCCCCCATCACAAACCACAAAAATCCCCAACAGAACAGGTGCAAAAGATAACGGTATGATCTTCAGTACCAATCCCAAAACTCCGTCTTGAAGCACACCCAACTCTCCAAAATCCCCACAAAACTCGATTCCTTGAACAAATGCATAGGCCTTAAACCAAAAACAAAGAAAACCCAAAAATCAGTGACAAATACCCCAAAAGAAACATACATAAAAAAAAACCCCCCAAAAACCCCAGGAACGGCAGGAAGAAGACCCGACTGAACATTCCAAGGGGGAGAGAACCCCCCGAAACACAGTGAAATAAAAACGTAAAACAATGGAAAAAAGAGATCTGGTTCTTTCAGAGACTTCGCTAGTCAGAATGCTTTCTGGGTTTGTTTTCTGCTTCAATTTGCGCCTTTCTTTTAGTATTCTATCGGCTGAATCAGTGAGAAGACTTCACTTTTGTCGTAAAGCTTTTGTACAGTCATCTTTAAGGGCAGCTTTCTCGTCGTCTTATCGCAGGATGGGGATACACGGACGGAGAGTGAGAGTAGTGGTAGACGCAGAGGTAGAGAACACGATGAAGAGAGAAATGGGGGTTCCGTTCCGATCAAAAAAGCGTACCTCTTTTACGGAATCTTGCTTCCTCCGGCGGAGAGAGAGAGGTGGAGTGTTTGATAGACAGAGGAAAAAAAATTAATATTTTTATGGAAAAAGAAAATTAAAGAGGCTATTTTGTAAAAGGATTACTCCAAAACCACATTTGGCCCCTGTACTTTATTATTTCCACATTTTGCGCCTAATGAATGTTTTTTTTAGGTTTACCTAATGGAAAACCCCATTTGTTCAACTAACAATGTGAAAAAAAAAAAAAAAAAACCCAAAAGCTCTGCCATCCCTTAATCAAAAAAACGTTTTTTGTGCACTAGAAGTTGACTATTTAATAATACAAAAGTTAAAATTTTTAACTTTAACTTTAAATTAAAAATTTTATTTTAATAAATATTAAGTTAGTCAAATTTTTGTTGATTGATTTCCTCTGATTAAACTATCCATTTCCGTTGCTGCTATGGTGAAAAAAA